TCTATTTTTTTTTCCTTCTATTTATTTCTCTTTTGTCCTCCCACAAAAAAAAATCTGTGAATTGTACATGAATGACCCACAGCTTCCATCACTCCTCTGTCCTGGAGTCAACTTTGCAGACCCAGGCTCTGGATCTATGAGCAACGCAGGAAGCTGTTTTTGGCTCTGGGACTGTTTTCCTCTCGGCTCTGAGTCCTCTCTTGTTGTCCTTTTTCTTTCTCCATCTTTTCTCCACCTCTCTTCCCCAGACACCCCTACTGTTTCTCTCTTCCTGTTTGCTTAGTTTCTTCCCCTCTCCTTGGTGGCCAAAGCACCGATCAATCACAGCTGCTGTCACAAGCATTGTTCTATCTGTGGCTCTTCTCTCTCTGATAAAACAAGCTAGGAGTGGCCTTTCAGAACACAGGCGATCCCCACAGTAGCCTGTAGGAGGCTGCCTGGGGCAGACAAGTCTGCCAGTGGAGAGCGCTTCCTTGCAGCTGCAGAGCCTGGGACAGCCAGCCGCAGCAAGCTGTGCAAGTTTGCTGGTGACACAATTAAGTTGTTCTGCTCTGTGAAAACATGGGAAATTCTGATAAATTCCAGATGACTTCAAAACACACTTGAGGGGCAGATATCCAAAAGGCAGATACAATCTGAATTAGGTAAGTACAAGTTGGTGCACAAATCTCTATTGTGGTCCAAACATTTTACAGATTGGAAGGCTTTAAATTTGACAATTCCCACTTAGGGATGATAAAAATTGAACTTTGCTCTCCTTAAGCCCCAAGCCATTATGCAAAGAGAGAGTTCACTCAAAGTTGAGGTGGAGTAGCTAGTAAAAGGCAGAGGGGAAGGGTGAGTTATGAACAAGCATTTGAAAGGTTTTTAATGCAGTTAAGAAACTGGGAAGACACTGGAATCCAGGCATAGACAATATATACAGTATATGCACACAATATATATATTCCACTGTGTCTGTGTGTGGTATGTCTTCGCACGTAGCCTAGTACGCCTGTTTCATCATTCCCATTCTAGGAAGACTGGTTCTTTCTTGTGCTGAAGCAGGGCAGAAGAGCTTTTGCATATTCTACAGCAAGATGCACACTGAGCAATAGGGTTATTGAGCCAGCGTGACCATATGCCTGAGTAAAACTTAAGTCTTTCATTTTATGCTGGTACAAATCTAAATCTAAATCTTTCTCTTTGTTCTTCTTTCTCCTCCTCTTCCTCCTTCTCCTCCTCCTCTTTCTTCTTCTTCCTCTTCTTCTTGTTTTCCTCCTCCTCCTCCTCCTCCTTCTTCTTCTTCTTACTTATTCTAGGAATCAAACCCAAAGCTTCACACATGTAAGGTAAATCCTCTACCACTGAGGCCCTCTTCTTTCAATTTTTAACTTGAAATTTTTAAAACAAACAAACATAAAAAAAAAAACAGAAAGAAGCATAAAGAACACTAACATCGCCTAGTATGACCAATAGGACATTGTCTTATATAAATATAATGCCATTTGAACTCCCAGATATGTAACATTGACACACTAGTATTATCTACCATAAATTCCATACTTAAAATTACCAATTTTCCCAGGAACTACTTGATTATCTTTCATGACTTGGGTGGTTTTAAAAGCCCAGACTTGCTTTGCAAAATGTCTATCATCTGAATTTGTCTAATTATTTCTTTTTTGTTAGTTTCAGGATAAATACCTTTGCAAAAACTCTTACAAGGTGATGTGTACTTACATGATATCATATCAAGAGGCAGGAGTGTCAGTTTGTCCTGTTATTGAATGCTATAAAGTTTGATCACTTGGTTAAGATGGTAGATGTTCATCCAGTGGTGTTAGCATTTATTAATGATTCTTGCCTGCATTAATTCCTCCACTGCCATTAGCTGAGTTTTAATTTTTCTAATTCTTATCATTCTTTTTTACTATAGCAGATGGGATGTTCAGTATCAAGCCCAGGTTTCTATGACCCTAAAGTTCTTGTTGTTTACACTACATGCCTACTTTTCTAAAATGAAAATAAACAAGCCAGGTGTGGTGGTGCACACCTGTAATCCCAGCACTCAGGAGGCTGAGGCAGGAAGATCATTGTGAGTTTGAGACCAGCCTGGGCTACAAAGTGAGCTCAAGGCCAGCCTGAACTGTATAGAGAGACCCTGTCTCAAAAAGATAAAATAAAATAAAATGAAAACAAACAAAGCCAGTCATTGGAAGCAGTTAGGGATATACAAAACTTTATTTCATCTACCTATGAGAGCTCCATTTTCTTTTTTTCTTTATCTATTTTTTTATTAAAATGAATCCATTCATGGAATTGAAGACTTTTTAAACCCCAAGGCTGTAGCATCCTCAGAACTGTTATTTTTAAGGGTCACGTGTGAAGGAATGTATTTTAAAGAGGTAGAGGGATGTCCAAATCAGTTTCCCTCTGTCAGTATTCCTGACATTCTCCCACTGCTTTGGGAGTTCAGGTTGCCCACTGCCTTGATCAGTTGATTGATCAGTACTGGCAGAAGATACTAGAATCAAAATACCAGGTTGAATTTGTTTGTTTTTAATGGCAAAGCCAGATGGAAGAGTTTTGTGGATTTTCCACCATTCTTTCCAGGGAACAAGATCTTCGGGTTCCATGGGTTGGAAAAGCAGTGAGTTCTGCAAAGACTTTGATCCCATCACCTACCTCCAAAGAGAACTTGTAAACTTATGTTCCAGGAAGTTAGCGCCAAACAGAGCACTAGCAAAAGCGGGCAGGTGTCCCCCCAGAAGTGCTGGCTGCTGGTCCAGTTACAAGGTCTCTTTTTTCCCAGTAGCTGCTCCCACTGAAAGTGCTCTTGCTGTATTAAATTAGTGTGAATAGAATTCTCCTGTGAGAAAGCAGAGCCATCCCAATTCCTCCTGTTCCTTCTCTTTGTTATATTAAGCGGCAGCACCTAAGCACTGATAAATTCAGGCTAACAACTACATTGACAGTATCAGAGTTTCAGGCACTTACAGAGTCCCCCCAACTGAAACAGAAAATTCTCTTTCTTTGCCATCTTTGTACTGTTTAACATGAGTATTTCAACAGTCTTTATTTTCCAAACACACAAACAGGGGAGAGTGGTCTGACCCACAGCATGTTGACATACCATGTGGCTATAACCTTTAGATAAGAAGTAAAGGAAAAAGTCGAAACAGCCCAAACTAAATACTAACACAAACAAAACCATCTTCACTGCAAACCCCCTTGCTCGGCTCGAGGGAACAAACTGGCATTAACACTGGCGATGGCAGACACAATCAGAGCTACACTTGTGCAGCTCCGGGAGTCCCCAGATGTATTGCTGAGAAGTCTAATGTATTAATTCGTTTGTTCAACCAATATTTATTACCGTGTGTAGTCTGTGCCTGACATGGTTCTATGGGTTGAAGGTGTCTTGCATATTTAGGTGATGCGTAAGACTCTCCAAGTCTGTGCCCTGGCAGAATGCTGTGTATCTAATGCTGTTCAAAAAACATCAGAGGCTACAGCCCGCAGTGTGGAAGGGAGACGGGAAATACTACGCCAGAAAACCTGAACTCATTTCCTGGGTTCTGCATATCCAGGAATGCAGCTCTGTCAAAATTTGCGTCAGCCTGTGCAAGGGTTAAAGACACAAAGTCAGAAAGAAAAAAGCAGAGACTCAGAAAGAAGCTTCTTCCTACTGCTCATGGAAGGTCCTTGGAGAGATTTTACCAAATCAACCAGGAAAAATTAAATTTAAAGCTTATAAGATGATAGAAAGAAGCAACAGTACTGACTGTGCATTTATCCCATGCCAAATAAAGAGAGAATGTCCCAGTGTAGTAACAGATGCCTTGCTGAACATCCTTGCTGGTCTGAGCTCCGTTTAAGCATTTACATATATATTGTTACATCTAATCTCTCCACTGACCATCTTATGAGATAAACACTAATTTCATTCCCTTTTCCTACATAAAAGAAACAGACCCAGAAAAGTTAAGTTACTTGCCATTCCTCAAGAATTCCAACCTGGCAGAGTGGAACCAGAATCATATCCCAGTTCTATGTGACCCAAAATTCATATTACAAACCACTAAATATCCACATACAAGATTATCTTTGATCATTTTACTTAAGAAAAAGGTATCATTGTTGAATAGAAAATTTATTCAGATAACTTCAGAATGTGTTCCATCTCTTCACTTTCAAACATATAGTACGAGCCAAGATCAAATACCACATTCTCAAATGCATGAAACATTAAGAGATAACTTGTAATTGCTTAACTGTCCATCAGCCCAACATCTCAAAGGAGAATGAAGACTCCAGAATAAATGGAGATCAGTACTTTGTTCCATTGATAAATCACTTCTTGAAGTTTATTATATTTTACAACTACATACATCCATCTTTGTACTTTACTTGAAAACTGAATTAATAACCACAAAATAACAAGAGTGTGGGTCACCTCGTGAAAGCACGGTGGAACTCCATAATGAAACCTATGCCTGTGTGGGGGAGGAAGCCACATCAAAAATCTTCAACAAAAATTCAAAAATAATTAGAGTGGAACTGAACTTTGAAAAGAGGTGAAAGGTTCATTTTTGCCTTAAATCATTTAAATGAAATGAAAAGTGATCCGAGTGCTTATTTTTACTTTGTTTGGTGGGAAATTGTGCTGGGAATGTGGCTCTATTGTGCACAAAGGATGTTGGCTTTATGCTGGAACCACTAGGCAGGTTGGGTTGAGAAACAATTAGCTCAGTCAGCAAGCCTTTGAATCTGATTAAGCCAGGAAGTGGTCTCGCCCCTCCCCAGGACGGGCAGAATGAAGGGAATCAAGGCATCAACTCCAAAACAAGGAATCATAAACCACTAATAGAATTTATTGTGTCTAATTTATGTCAAGGATTATGTTATTACTTTCTGCCTTTGGTGAAACAAATAGCATCTTGTTTCCAAGTAGATCAACAGTCTGCATGTGTCATGGCTACTGTCTCTAAGAAACTTCTGTTTATTGAGGCCTGTCATAACCTCATGTTTTGGTAACACACATCTCTGAGACGAAGGACCCAAGTCACAGAGAAAAATGAAGTTCCTGTATCAAACTGCTGGCCAGATTCTCATTACTCTGGGGAGTCTCAGTGTATTTTCTGGAGTTATTGCTTTCTTCCCTGTCTTTTCTTACAAGCTTTGGTTCACAGGATGGAGTGTGTGGATCGCTTGTCCTATCTGGAATGGAGCTTTGGTAGGAATGTATTTTATTAAATATATGGAGAGAATAAAGGAAGATGGGCGGGAAAATGGGACATGGGGTAATGTTCTTTTAAGATATTCTAACTGTAAAGAAGACAAAATTCTGTAGAATATCAGAATTTACCTTAGAACACAGCTTTCTACTGGCTGTATTTAAGTATAGAGTTTTCTTGATATTGTTCTGTCGTGTATACATGTATATCATGCATATTATAATGAAATGTTGTTCAAGAAATTCTTAAAAAGCTATTTTATTTTGATCCTTTCACCTTGATATTCTCAAATTAGAAACTGTCTTTCCAAATTTGATTATTGAATTAAGAAAAGACATAAGCAATGAAAAAATTTTGAATGGAAAATGAAGTAAAATCATTTTTAAACTTCTGCTTTCATTAGAAAAAATAAGGTGTAACTACCTATGACCCCCAAACGGGCAAGGCCCCTGTCTTTATTCTTCCACCTTTATCTTTTTGCGCAACTGTTTATTTAAACTGAAAATAATTCAGGAAATGAGGCACTGATTTCACTGCCTTTGCAGTTTACCAGGAAAGTGTAGGTGCGCCGAGTGCAGTGTCTGTACTACATACATGCTCAGTGAGTGCTCACTGGGTGACAAACTATGAGGCTGAGAAATGAGCCCATCCAGTCTTGGGAATAAGTGGCTTTCGTGGTAGCACAACTCAGGAGAATTTATAGAGGAGGCCTATCTCCCTAACCAATCCATTTCTCGTTATTTCCCATAAAATCTGACATTCACCACTGGTGACTGGAGGATTTGATTTTGCAGGTTTTTTCTTTTTTGATCTCAAGGAAGTTTCTATTCAAAGGTAGCCACTCTTGGGTGGGGTGACATATTAAATATTTAAATAATTAAAACTTGTGAACCTAAAAGCAAAACACAAAGGAGTATCACTCTAATCTATTTATGAACTACATATACATTGACTGCTCACTATAGCCCTGCGCTTCTGTGGAGTGTACAGTGAGGTCTTGATTTTAAGGATTCTGCCAAGTGGGGTTTAATGATGGTATTGCAGACCGGGAAACAGGATGTGGGAGGGACACTGGAGTCTTTAAGTCGTACAGCACATTCATATTCTCTTTTTTAACATACTATTTTATATCTGTCACCCCATCTTAATCCTGCCCTTTTTCCCAACACCTACCAAAAGCCACACATTCTTTCAAAGAAATATTAAACTTCTACTGGAATACAGTCATGACAATCACATTCATTCAAGCAGCTTCCAAATATTTTGTTGGCAAGAAAAATATTTTCCATCAGAGCTTGGAATATACAGGAACATATCCATGCAGTTCTCTCTAGATAAATAACATCTACTTGTTCATATCTATATGTGTAACAAATTTTCACAAACAATACTTAGCTGTCTACATGAAATCTATTGTCATATTTTGTATTTCACAAAATTGATTTGAAATTTTCATCCCTCACCCCGACCCAAATTTTTTTTTTTTAATTTTAGAAATTAAAGGAGGAAAATACTAACAGACCGACACCTGACCCAAATTTTAAACAAACCATGATTAGAATCCAACTCTCCATCTTTTCTGGTATCCCTTAAGTCTATCATAACACATTCGATAAGGACTGGTGCTTTTGATTCACAGTATAGATCAAACGCAGGTCTGTTCTATGCCAAACATACATTGTACTAGAAGCCCCCGAGCAATGATATGCTGTGTCTCCAGCACACCGCTACCTAGTGACCACTGTAAGCTCACGGGCGGCAGCACAGGAAGGTGCAGTTAGACAAGTGGGCCTGTGTTCAAGTTCTGACTTTAATATTCTTGACATGGAGTCAACAGCAAGATCTTCCAGTCAGCTAACTGGTCCCTCGTTGCCTTTACCTGCAATGTGGGGTGTTTTACAGGTGAAGAAAAGTCGCAGAGAAACTGTCTAACCCTAAGGTGCTCAGTGAGGATGAACTCAATTTGAGCAAAGCTGGTGTAATAAAGCGCTTTGCCAATTTTAAATCTCTACTCAAGTGCTAGTTAATGCCATGCCTTTCATTTGTGCCCTGCTCTCTGACCAAACTCTTTGTTCCTGATCCCTTGCCACCGGCCTCGGCCTCCTATCCTATTCCCCGAGTCCCCACCCTGTCGCCTCCCGGACCTCCTCTCCCACCACTTGCCTCTTTGCTTGCCTCTCTCTTCATGTTGGCTGCCTGCTGTTCTCAAACCTGCTCAGGTGTGTTACTGCCTCAGAACCTGCGTCCTGAATGCTGTCTGCCTGAATGCTCTTCCTGAACTTGGCTTGCTCTCTAACCTGCTTCAGTTCTTGATCAAATGTGACTTTTCTCACTGTGATCTTTCCACATTGTCCTATTTAATATTGTAACCCGTTGCCCTCACTTGACATTCCCAGTCTGGCATACTCTGCTCTACTTTCCCCTAATCCCACCACCATCTAACATACTGCATAACTTATTTATTATTTCTTTGACGGGGGTCGAAATGTATGTTATACAAGGGTAGAGATTTTTTCTATTTTACTTATTGCTATATCTCCAGAACCTAGAGCAGAGTCACATACTAGATTTTAAATAAATATTATTTGGTAAATATTATTGAATGAGTTAACTTTGTGTTGTCCATTCAGATGGTACAGAATGTCACATGCAGTTGAACCCTGATTAGGTTGCATGGATGGACAGTCAAGTTGGTATTTATGTGAACATTGTAGTAAAATGTTCATGAGAAGGAAAACAAGAAGAATGCTCATGCTTTCCATAATGTCTAAGTTTAGAACAATGTAATTTGCTTTCATAATGAGTTGCCTATTGAGCCACAGTTCTGTTTGATCAGGGTCAGCTTCAGAATTCTCTGTTTCATTCCACACCTTCCCTTACCAATCACCTCTTAACTTGCTTGCAAACTATGTCTTCGTCTAGTAAAAGATAATTTGTACAATGCAATCACATTGACATTTCTTTCGGTAAATGCCTCCAAATTTTTTAGGACTGATAAGAGATAGACTTTTACATGTGACACAGTGCCCTATATTTGTTTAGAGCCTTTTACTGGAGGCTTTCTAAGTGTTTCACAAATATCAGTCTGCAGACTCTCCTAACTCCATTCTGACAGCCACATGACATGCAGTTTTCCTAGAATTTCTGAGCTGGGTTATTTAAAGTCATCAGCTGCTAGAAAGTATGCAGTGAGGAGATTGTAGTACCTTAAGAACTGATCCCTATTAATCCTGGAATATGTGGCTTGGAGATCATTCTAATGAAGACATTGAAGCATAGCGAGTTAGATCATAGGACCCAGGCTAAGAGAGCTCGGGACCTGGCCAGTGGTAACTTGCACCCAGAACCCTGTGAGGAGATAGGAACTTGGGAGTAGGTAAGGGCTCCTCTGAGCCATGCAGGCCTCAGTTTCCTCAGCTGTCAGAGTAGGGATTTGAGAACATGATTGTTCAAATCTCTCACAATTTCAGTAGTCAAGTAATTCTCATCTACCAGATGGTGTCAAAGAAAAACCAGAGCTGGATAGTAAGTAAGCAGGAAAAGCACATTTTATTCAGTACTATTGCAGTGGGGCAGGGAAACCCTTAGTAAAGAACTGGTTCAATTCCAAATATGGCACAGGCAAGCAGGAATTTATAGCCCAGGAGCAGGGTAGGGTCAGTGAACGGAAAAATACTAATAGGAAACTTCAGGGATAAAGGGGATATTCTGGCTAAATCAGTCTACTAAGGTTTTTGCTGAAGATAGTCCAGGGTTTCCAACATTGCTTAGAGGATGGTGAATAAAAGCAAACAGATATTGAGAAGGAACAAATAATCATAGATATCAAGGATGGGGAAATTCTTCTCAACAGACTTAGCAGGGTGCTTGCTAAAATAGGATTTTATAAGTCAGGTGTGGTGGCACAAATCTGTAATTTCAGCACTCAGGAGGCTGAGGCAGGAGGATCACTGGAAATTCAAGGCCAGCCTGGATTACATAAGTGAGTTCAAGGGCAGCCTGTACTACAGAGTGAGACCCTGCCTCAAAAAAAAAAAAAAGGAACTTTTTTAAAAATAAGATTTTATAAGGAAGTACACAGATGACCAAGTAGAAATTTCAGGAACCTGACTACAGTTTGGTCAAGCCAAGAATCTTTGTTAGTGGTCCATTTTCCACTCAGCTTAAGCAGCCATATAGTCAGCTTGTCTAAGAATGAATTACTTATTTCGTCTCCAGAACTCACTCTTTCTGCTATAACTTCCTATTCATTGTCCTGGAAACTCAATTTCAAATCCTGGGGTGAGTTTGACTTAGTCTTCTCCTTTAAACAAACTCTTCTCTCGTATTTATTTTTATTTTATTTTATTTTATTTTTACAGTACCAGATCAAACTCACAACCTTGCACTTGCCAGGCGGGCGCTTATGCCACCGAGCTATATCCCCAGCCCGAACAAACCCTTCTCCAGCTGGAATATACATGCAAATCCCTGAGGGATGTTATTGAAATGCAGGGCCTAAGTCCATCGGCCTGGGTGTGCCTGAGTGTCTGTATGTCTCAAAAGTTTCAGCCAGTCCCCACACTGCTGGTTTCAGGTTTGCAAGTTGGACAGCAGAGACCTACACATCTTCAGTCCACTCCCATCAGCTCCCCTGGAGCTTTGATTTTTCCCATGAAACTTTTTAACCATGCATTTCTTCTTCTTCCTTCTCAGTGGACAACCCTCCTGTTCTTATCACTTCCTACCCCTGCTAAGACATTATGTCTAGATAACTTTAATGGCCAAACTAATAGAATCAATCCACAGCAGGAGGTGAGCAGCAAACAAGCAAGTAAAGGCTCATCTATAGTTACACCTGCTGCCCATCACTCATATTACCACCTGAGCTCAACCTTCTGTCAGATCAGTAGCACCATCAGATTCTCATAGGAACTCGAGCTCTACTATGAACTGCACATTCAAGGGATCTAGACTGCACTCCTTATGAGAAACTAAGGCCTAGAGCTGGGGATTTAAC